TACAGTTACTTTTTTATTGGACAAAAGAAAAAAATCTTCTCCAGATACATAAAGAAGCTAGACATGTCTGCTCTCTTTGGTCAGAACAAAAGTTATACAAAACGTTTAAAAGTATCAAAGATTTTGTTTGTTTCGTAAGTATTTCTTTGATTGATTCAAAAATTAACCATTTGTATTTTATTTCACTTTGGTGATAATTCCTACATACATACTATTGGAAATTGCTACATCTTTTTTTCACATACATGTACAAAAATAAAATGACAGTAACCTATAAATCAGCACACTTTGTTATACTGTTAAGCTGTGAGAGGAAACTTGACTCCATAAATCATGAACCATATGTGTACATACATACATATACATATATACACATATACACATATTACATATATATACATATACATATATACACATATATATAACGTAAACCGTATTTCTTATTTAGCTGTTGGAGACTTTTCCTCTCTCTGTTAACCCAAGAGGCACAATATCACCTGAATAACTTTGGTTAACATAAATAAATCATACTAATGGATAAATTATGCAGATCATGGAAGCAAAGTCTGTACGCCCGTTTTTTTTGTATTTTTGGATAGGCGCATAAAACAAAGGAGAAATTTAGCAAACAAACAAGACAAAAAAACAAACGCAAGAATCGACATTTCAGAACGTTTCACAAACAAAAATAAGAAATACTTTGATGAAAATGAAAAACGGGTATTCAAGGCCAGCAGTAGGTCGCATTTTGGCGGGAAACTCAAGCTCCTGGCAAGCCGTTTTCCACAAGCTATTTTGCTTTACAAGCTTTCCGAAAATACGAACATTCCTGCTAGTAGTTGCCGTCAAAAAAGAAAAAAAATGGGTGAAGAACGAAAAAAAAAAAATTGCTTTAAGGTTAAATCTAAAGTTTTATCAATAAGAACTTGTGTTTCTTAGCGTCCAAAAGCAAGTTCAGTTTCCCTCAAAAATACAGCTCAAAATTCTTATCTTAATTTAAAGTACGTGCAACGTGAGAAAGATTTTAATAACAGCTCCAGGCTTTATCAGTCAAAAACACACATCAGGCACGGTACAATCTGACATCTTGGACGAAAGTAAATGAAATACACCAAAAATTTATTTCGTCTTCAGTCCATTAATTCTAAAAAAGATGTCCATTGGTTTGGGAGTCGAAAAGGCAGTGGAAATAACGCTAAAATTAAATTACTAATTGCTAAAATTCTCCTTATATTACTGACAGAGATGAAATGGATCGCTCTATCGATGTAATATTATATTTAATAACTACATATTGTAAATTTCTGTGGCAGTGTAATTTAGTCAATAGTTATATTAATCATCAATGTTCATAATCTATTTTCTTGCTGTTTTTTGTAAGATTTGCCATATAAGAAAACATAATTTGTATAAATGTGTATTGAAGTTTGGTAACAAAACCTTATCATATCAGGACTAAGACTATAAAAAAAGGAAGTTTATTTATGCGACAAGATTTTTAATTTCTGAATCATAATTGAAATGATTTAATTGGAGACATGCTTTTAAAACATGCAAAGACAGATCATGCTATTGGCGACCTTATCTCTCAACATGACATCGTTAGAAAAAAAAAAATCATAACACATTTACTTTTAAAAATCTTTTCACTCTAAAAAAAAAAATAAGTAAATACACTCAAAGCGACACAATCTCTGATTCAAAAACTCCAGTCAAGTCTCTAATTCTAAAACTCATCCCCCCCCCCCATTAAAAACCGTTATCCAAGTCACCCATTCAAAAAAAGACGTTAGAAATTCAAAACGTTCCACAGTTGCCAACGCTTCGAGATTCCAAACGCTTCAGCTCCCGGTGCCTCCCTCATTCAAACATGCTCCGTTTTCTTTCGAGTGCAATGAAAGCATGCATGGAGGGAAGTGGAAGGAGGGAAGTGTAAAGGAGGAGGAGGAGGAGGAGGTGGGTGTTGCAGCTTCCGGAATGCAACTCATGCACTGAAATTGCAAAGAGAATTTGAGGTTAATTCATTGAATAGAGTTTTAAAGCGTGCACAATGGTAGGTGTATTGTCCATAATAAATTTCACATTACAAATTTGCATGTGGTTTGTCATCCTAAATATCTTAACATTTAAAAAATTCCATGTTCATTTTAATTGATAAAATACTTTTACATCGTTATGTGTGTATCTTTTATAAATATATACCTTATATAAGAGATCCCTAGAAACATGTACTGGATGGATATTTTTCTTAAAGAATATATGAACACTAATGAAAAAAAAATAAACAAATGAAAAATCACATTCAACTTTTCAAAACTATAAAATTCATAAAAATAAAAATCACATTTCACCATTATTAAAAATAGTTTACATAAAATTATAAAACTTTATATACATACTCTTTCCTATGTGCTGTTAAATGCAAAAAGACTTTTCTTAAATGTAGCTCGTAACTAATTCTTCCTCTTTTATTCTGATAATTCTAAATAATCTAACTATT